TCTCCGACTCAGTTATTTTATATATGTGTGCAAATTCTCTGATTATGGAAATGTTTTTCTTATTATATAACGTATAAAATTATAAATTCTATTCTTATTTTTTATTATAATTTGTCTAAACGTGGCTTTACACATTTTTATACATGTCTAATACATTTCATATCCACCACTTCATCCATTCTTAAAAAGATTATATAAGAATTTTTTAATTATGGTTGTTTTTTGCACTGCTGATTGATTTCCTCATTTTAATCATTTTCTGCTATGAGCAAACAACTGTTTGCACAAAATTCTTATATTTTGACAATTGTCGTTTCACGAGTTATATGAAAATATTTTATGTGGTACTTTCTTCGAAATATTAACTAATTAAATGTTAAGACGTATGATTATGTATGTTTTTTCATGTTCCACGACACTGATCACAAGTAGCACTAGCACAAAGTAAATATGTATACAATGACACAAATTGAAGCTGAATTAATTTTATATTTAATTGAAAAACATATCAAAAAATAAATAGCGCATAGCGCATATCTGCAGTGTCCAGTACAAAGATAAAAAACAAATATTAATACTTATCTGCAAACGATGCGCAACAGTGGAATAATAATATTATTATTAATCTATAACATGTAGATATATTCAAACTATGTCCAAAACAATTAATATTTAGCAAAATAATCATTGTGCGTATTTCATTTATTATTCTCTGAAATAGAGATGTTTAATTAAAACCTAACATGGAAAATAATGGCGATTATTGTTAAGTGGTATTATATTTAAATTAATTGGATTTTTTATGTAATTAATACATAGAATATTCGTCTGTGGTTGTATTACGAGTTCATGTAGTTTATTTGAAGAATTGTCGCGCGCGGTTACCGACGTGAGGTATTGTGTCCGACAATGCTACGATCGCACGAGGTTCATTTGATAAAATTATCACATTTTATCGATTTAATATATTACATTCAATAATATTAATAGTATTATCATACATTTAGTATATTAGTAGTATTGTAGTATATTAAAATATAAATACTTAAACTATAAATACTTTATTAAACTATAAATACTTTATTATATGTACTGTATACATATATCCAAGTATATAGATTTTCTATCAGGCAATAGACAATCGTATAAATATAAATCTTTGATATGTTGCAAGATTGAATCAACTTTTCCGCCTGAAATTTTTTGAATGGAAAAACCACCCTTCAAAGAAACAAATAATAAATAATTTATTATAACTATTCCGCCAATGCTCGATGATTTTCAGGTTTCCTTCTTCTTCTTTATCCTTCCTCATTGTCGCTCGTTCTTCGTGGATCGCACAATTCACTTACGCATAAAACAGAATTACTGAAATGCAACAATCGTGCGACATTTTCTATACAACGCATTATATTCGTGGGACGTCTCAGGAACGTTCTTAGAACGTTTTTTTATCCGACGTTCTCTAGACATTTCTAAATCCCTTAAAGGTCTGTGTTGTATGAATTTGTACGTTACTCCTGGCGAGATGCGTAATTTCATTACACTTTCACAACGAAGGACAACGTGCAAAAATATGCTCACAAGATTACGATTTTCTCTATATCGTGCGAATTAATATAACGGAAAGATTCGTTTGTGATGACAGCGAAATTCATAAATAACGCGGACAACTTTACGCGACAGGTCAGACACAGACGTAGAGAACAGTGCACCTGTTGCTCCTACTTATACTTTCGTGCACTTTCCGCATTTTCAGCAATATGTATGCAATCACGTTTTACGGCAACTGTTATTTCGTATCACGATATAATACAGCTAGTATCACGACATAATCAAATATTTATGTGAGTAAAAATAGTAATCATATCCACGAAATGCAGTGTCCGAGAATTGTAATTGTAAATTATCTGCTCTCGACTGTTCGCACGAGTAAACTTTTAAATTTAAATTAAAAGTTTCGCGTCTATTAACAAGATAAAATCATCGATGTATGAACGCTGAATCTGCACTATACAATTATTTTAAATTAAATACGATGTTAATCATGACTATATTTATCAGACAAACAAGTTGCAATGCTATTCAACTTGAAATAGGCCTGTTCTATTTAACTTCATCTTTTCTTTTCCTCTAAAAAAAGAAAAGATGGAGAAATAAAGATGAAAGATAAATGCAAGAAATTCAACTAATTCGCTACCGCACAATTTGAATTATGCACAACTCGGTGCAAAACGACAAAATAATACAGTAATATTGCACTGTACTTAGTATGTAATTATTATATACAACATATATATTATGTTTATATTGTTGAGCGAGAAATTATAATAACATAATATTACTGTTAGTTTACATTCATTGGTAATTCTGATATATAACAACGTAACTATTAAGATCATTGTAAAATCCATTTTTATTCAATGCTTTTATATTTTAATAATGTATTGCTTCACAATTACTAATATACAACAAGAAGTTATCACATTCACGTGAGTATAAAGAATATTTGTACGGAGACAAATAATACATTTAAAAATGTGCTATTTTTTTCTATATATAATGTTGATACTAAATTTAGTAAAAGTTTAATGTGTGAAACATGTCTTATTTAATCATAAAATTCTGTAATAATTTAACAAATATCAGTGTTATCACTTAATGTTTTTTTTTAATTTAAAATTATAATTGCACATATAATAATAACGTAATTTATGACAATTGCTTTTTCAATGTTTTTTATG